ACTAATCTCTTAACAACAGCCCTACCTTGTCAGCAACTTTAAATGTGCCCCTTTTCTATCCTAACTGCATATTTTTCAAATCTTTTTGCTCTGCTCTTCACTCCCAATCCTCACTTGTAAACATGGCTAAAATCAGCCAGAAACATCCATGCCACAACTGAATGGTATGTTGTCTTAAAATTTCTATCACCAAATTAATTAGCTCATTACTTTGAAATTCAGCCTCACTCAAGGTTATCAGGAAATGGACAAGTGTAGACAAGTCCTTGACAGGTGTCCATTCTCAAAGAGAAACTCATTTTCCACCGACATGTTTCCAAAGTAACCTTCTTTAACTGTCCTGATTCCTATCAGAATTTCTTGGGTTTTCTAAGCTCCACAACAATTGCCCCATTAAGCCAGTACTTACAGCATCCTAGCTTTTTTCGGAATGCTTGCTCTCAATACTCCCTCAAATTCCTCCCCAAAAGCCAGTTCCAAGGCCCTAGGAAAACACATGGCAGTAGTCATTTAAACAGGTACTTAAATTGAATTTGCTGAAAAGCACTGACCCCCTTACTTGGAATCCATAAATTAACTAAAAGCAGGAGAAAAAGTTTGCACCCTGCCCTGGTTTTTTATACCTTCCTTGTTCTATGCCATTAGTCTGCAGTCATCTTGGAATCCAGGAAGGAGGGATGCAGGGAACTGCCCCCAAGGAAAGGAAAAGCAGAAGGAAAAGCAGGACAGATCACCTGAGGTAACAATGACTGGTTACCCTGATCAGATTGTTGTTCCCCTAAAGTGATGACTATGATAACTTCCCCAAAGCCCCTCCCAAAACAGGATTGAGCCAATGATCAACACATCTTAGACTGGGACTATTTAACTATAGTCTTTTGGCCCCTTGCCCTAATCCTTTGTCTAAACTGAAGCTTGATCAAATATGGACTGAAATGGTTACTTTGCCTCTTACAGTGGCTCCCCGTGCCATGTAATAACCTCCTTTCTCTGTCTTTCACCAAGTCTTTTTATTCAGTATAAAGGGGCAAGTGACCAGATCTGACATACACCACCAGCAATTTGGGCCAAGGTCCTAAAACTCTGATTTCAGTTACAACAACTCCACTTCTCTGACACCAATTTTCTGTATTACTTTGTATTGCCATGAGTGAATACCTGACACACACAACTTAAAGGGAGAAGGATTTCCTTTGACTCATGGTTTCAGAGGGTTTCAGTCATGGTTGTTTGGCCCATGTTAGGTAGAAACCATGGCAGCTGAGCATGTGTGGAGGTGAAGCTTCACCTATAACAATGGGAAATATGAGAAAGAAGCAGGAAACGGGGCCAGAAACGAGATACCCTCAAGGCCCCATCAACAGTGACCTACTTCCTCCAGCCAGGTCTCACACCCTAAGGTTTGCAGACCCTCCCAAAACAGCACCACTACTGGGGACCAGGCATTCAACCCATGAGCCTACAATGGACTTATCATACTTGAAACATGAAAAGACCCAACAGGACAAGACAGCCTTGAAGGGTGGAGATGAAGGTGGGACTTGGAGCAACAGTCATGACCTGAACACGTGAGACCAACTCCCAGACAGTACAGTGCCATGTGAAGGAAGAGTCCAAGTCCCATTAGCAGCCAGTGAAAAGTGAGGTCACATGGCAGAGTGTGGAGCTCCATAGGCCAAGGAAGATGGCATCAGGTAAAGAACAATTCCAAGCACTGTGAAGGAAACAGAACTCAGCAACACATGGGCAAGAACTCATGGAGAAACCAAGACAACTCAATGCACAAAGAAAGAAATTAGACTTCACACTGTTAATGGGCTGAGTAGCCTAAGAAGACACAAGTCCAGAAGCTTCCGAGTTCTTGTGTCACCTCAACAGAGAACTGGACAGAGACACAAATTATGAAACAGCAGCAAAACTTAATTGAAAGAAAGGGAAATAAATAGTGAAGGGGGAAAATATGTACTGCCAGAGAAACAGTGGGCCCCTGCCACATAGCATGGAAGCATTGATCTCTTTGATTAAAGATCAATTTATAAATTGTAAGGTGGGAAAAATCTGGGACCTTAGGGAGGGGCTAGAGTGGCTGGCAGGTTTACTTAACACAGCCTTATCCTGTAGCCAGGGGTATCCTGTACATGTGCTCACGCTAACTTTTAGGCATTTAATTGTCTGTCTGAGATGTGACCATATTCAAAAGGTCCTAATTAAGAGGACTTGGCCTGGAAGATCAAATTGGGGGACAGGCTTTTTTAACAAGCAAGGCAGACCCAAAGGCCTTTCTTCTGGAGGTTATCATACAACAAAGACTGCCAGGATATTTACAACTTTGAGTGGATTTATTGCTCTAGAGGTGACTTAGGGTCTTGTGTTGGGGAATGCCTGTTTCTTTAAGAGAAAAAAAAAGTCCCTTCTGAGTTACTTTCCCTGTTTGCTAACCTGCTTCAACACTGCATGCAAAAATTTACTCAAAATGTATCAGACCTGAATGCAGAAGCTAAAACTATACAGCTCTTAGAGGATGAGTTAATCTTTTTAGAGAATACTTTATTAGTTTCTGTAATCAAACCCACATAGATAAGACCTTACATATTTAATACAGTGTGTTACCTCTGTACAAATGCAAAAATATTAAGTTTAACATTTCTATGTTATCATTCGCTGGTAAATGGATGGAATTGGAGAACAACATTCTGAGTGAGGTTAGCCTGGCTCAAAAAACCAAAAATCGTATGTTCTCCCTCATATGTGGACATTAGATCAAGGGCAAACACAACAATGGGATTGGACTATGAGCACATGATAAAAGCGAGAGCACACAAGGGAGGGGTGAGGATAGGTAAGACACCTAAAAAACTAGCTAGCATTTGTTGCCCTTAATGCAGAGAAACTAAAGAAGATACCTTAAAAGCAACTGAGGCCAATAGGAAAAGGGGAACAGGTACTAGAGAAAAGGTTAGATCAAAAAGAATTAACCTAGAAGGTAACACCCACGCACAGGAAATCAATGTGAGTCAATGCCCTGTATAGCTATCTTTATCTCAACCAGCAAAAACCCTTGTTCCTTCCTGTTATTGCTTATACTCTCTCTACAACAAAATTAGAGATAAGGGCAAAATAGTTTCTGCTGGGTATTGAGGGGGAGGAGCGGGAGGGGGCGGAGCGGGTGGTAAGGGAGGGTGTGGGGGCGGGGGGGAGAAATGACCCAAGCCTTGTATGCACATATGATAAATAATAAAAAAATAATAAATTATAATAATTATTATTATAATAAATTATAATTATTATAATAATAAATTATAATAATAAAAAAAAGAGGAGGGAATGATAAAGAAACCCAAGGAAAGATCTGAAGGCAAGCTCCCTCCCCCAGCAGGCCGGGTTTCACAGATGTGTTAGTGTGATAAGTTGTAACCTCCCAGCAAGAGGCCAACTGCCACATTTGCTTTTGTCCTCCCCACTTGCTTGCTTCCGCATTCTGAGGCATAAAAACCCCACAGCCTTGAGCTGCAGGGCTGGCACCATTTTTGGAGAGATCCAGGTCCTGGCCTGCTAGGACCTGAGTCCTAGGACTTGAGTCTCGTATTCGCTGGTCAGACATTCTTCCCTCAACAATATAAAAATGAATGATAAGCACAAGGTGACTGCAAAACATTGTTAGTATGTAGATAAATGCAAATCAAAGCTAGAATCACAGTCAGTTAACAACAATGCGGCAAGGATGTGGAGAAACTGGAACTCCGGTACACTGCTTGTGAGAATATAAAATGGTGCAGGTGCTCAGGAAAAAACGTGGTTCCGCAGTTTATCTAACAGGTCAAAAGAGAAGTGCGGGGTGACTGAGAGCAAGTCCATGCCCGGCCTTATTCCAGGAGAATGAAATTATATGTCCACACAAGAACACCAGCACAAAAGCAGAGACAGCTAAAACGTCCTTCAAGGGATAGATGGGTTAAAAGAAGGTATGTGGTTGTGTTAGTCAGGCTTTCATCTCTGTGGCAAAATTACTGTCATAAGCAACTTAAGAGAAGGATTTGTTTTGGATCATGGTTTCAGGGGTTTCAGTCTGCAATCCTTGCGTCCAGTGATTCTGGGCCTGTCGTGAGGCAGAACATCATGGTGGCAGGAGCAGGCGGTAGAGGCACCTCACCTGATAGCACCTGGTTTGCACACAGAGAGAGGAAGGACCAGGGACCAGGTGTAACCCTCAAAGACACACCTCCAATGGCCTCCTTTCTCCAGTTAGAGATGGGGGCTAGTAAGCAAGGGGACCCATAGAATTCTCTGGAAAGCTGTCCATGGGGGTGTGATCAGCACTGGATGTGAGCTCCACCGCCCACCCTGTGCCTTAGGATTTGGGCACATGGATGCAGGAGGAGCTGAGTGGACAGAGGACAATGGCATATGTAAGAACTGGACTTAGCATAGAACTTCTCCCATGGAGAGCTGGCTCCGCTTCTCTTCCCTTTGAATCAGGGCTCAGCCACATGCATGTTTGTCTTTTCCTATTTTTCTCTATTTCTGGTGCTCTGACCTCTGAGCTCCACTGTCCCTGGAGGGCCCAGACCCCAGGTTAGCTAATTCCTAGACATATAAGGCCTCGCCTGCAGCTTTCACGTGCAAAAAGTCCACATCACACTGCTCTATGGGCTCACACCTGGGTCTCAATTCCTCATCAGGGACCAGCCTGAGAGCCCAGCTCTGGAATCTCCCACACTAGCCCAAACCCCTGTGACCCTGCCCCACCCTCTCCTCCCCACCCACTAATCACCACATAGGCTTCTTCCCTCAGCCTGCATTTCCACCTGCCCAGCTTTCCCTGAGGCTGGGCCCTGGAGCTCTGCGTGCTGTGGCGGGCCACCTGTGTAAGGAGCTATGCCTGTGGGGAAAGTCCTTCCTTCCTTCCTGATCACCATGATCATGACAGAGTATCTTCCCACACCTGACTAAAACAAAGCCCAGGCCCATCAGACCTGCCTGAGTGTGACACATGTGGCCAGGGGACCTCGGACAGCTTTATTGAAAGCAGAGGTTTTGGGAGGGGTAGGTGATGGGAACACTTGCAAAGTTCTGCCTGCAGAGTGTACAGGACAGCCAGAATCCCCAGGTCCTTTTCCCTCAGCAGTCTCTTCAGTGCTCCCTCTGTGCACTAAGAATCACTGTCCATCTCACAGGGTTCTGCAGACACAGAAAGGCACAGAAGAATATTTTAAGCAAGCTATGAGAGAGAGAGAGAGAGAGAGAGAGCAAGTTGGAAAGGGTGTTCCTGTGATCACCATTTTAAAGGAGAAAAGAAACACCAAAAGTACACACTTGGCTCATTAAAAGGGAAGGAGAAATAAGGGAAAATTCCTTCTCATTACCAACATGGGGAGGGTTGACAATCTTTGTTTTGGGCAATTCTGTCACCACAAACTCCTTGAAGATCCTCCTAGCATCTAGGTTTGCATCCAGGGTGCGACCTGCAGGCCAGATAGGGTGAAGGTGGGTGGTAGGAAATCAGGGCCTTCAGCTTGCATAGGGGGAGACTGAGGGGCTCACTTAAGACTGGGGGCTGACAGCGTCCTCAGGAGCCTGTGGGCACTGAAAGGACTCGAGCCCTCCATCCCAGGAGAACCCATGCGTAGGGCGGCCCCAACCCAAATCACCTGAGGATACCAAACAGATGGGAGCCATCAGGTGGAAATCATCTGTGTCACGTTTGGGACCCGAACCACCTGAGCAAATTAGCCAAATACAGGGCTAATAGCCTCAAGGTTTCCCTCATCTTTAAGGCTCCCCAGGAAAGGGCTCCCACCTGCCTTGGCCCTGCAGAGCAGAAGCCAAATGTACAATTCCATGCACAGGCTTATACTGGGCTTACAGACAAGCTGCCCTGGCCTATCATAGCACCTCCTAGATTCTATCTAGGAGAAGGAGGTAGAACGTGACCTAGGGAACCAAGGAGAGTCAAGCAGCACAAAGGTCTCTAAGGTCCATAGTCATTATCTGAAGGTGGGGCCAGTGGGCAGGTAGTGGCTGTTTCTGCCTATTTCTCTCCACTCCAGTCCAAGCACACACACAGGCCATTCCTTGGATGTTGTGGCCCAGAGCTTCCAAAGGGGCTAAGAGCAGAGGTGACCTGACAGGGTAGCATGTGGTAAGGGAAAGGAGGATGGGGGCGGTGCTGCACAAGAGCTAGAGAGGCAGTCCAGTGAGCCTCCATGTTGGGTAGGACCCTTGGATCAGAACACTGGAGAACTCTGGCAGAGATAAGAAAAAGAGGTGAAAGCTGAGGGTCTCCAGATGGCGATGTGGCTCTGAGTTAGTTGTGGTGATAGGTGGCGGTCAGGTGTCCACCTGGGTCCTGATGACTTTGGAGAAAGAGTACCTTCTATAGGGAGCATCTTGTGAACATGGAGCATTGACTAATGCTCCATCCCTCACCTCTGGTTGCCAGGACCAGTTGTCCTGCCACCATGACAATAACATCATGTCTTCAGATGTTGCCCAGTGTCCCTGGGGCAAATGGGTTCTCAACAATTTCTGCTTAGAACCCAACACACAAAGTTCACTTAGGAGGAAAGGGAATGGCCAAGGCTGGATAGATCCAGAGTGAACATGGGCCTCAGGTACTGGGATTGGTCACATGAGAGTTGAAGAGGAGAGAGGCCAAGAGCTTACAAATCTGTCTTCCACTGAGAGTCAAAGAGTGCCAGGAATGCCTCCCAGGGAACTAGAGGGAGGTGGGAATAAACAGTGCCCGGGAGTCCATGGTGGACTCAAAAAAGGTCAGGAATGCACCCATGAGCATCACCATTAATAGTATTTGTAGTTCATGTAGCCCCAGAAGTAGGCAATGGCGTGATCTCCCCAAGCATGAAGTGAACATAGATGTGTGCTTTCACCTATAGGCAACAAAAGGCCATGTGACCTTCAGGTCTCTTTATTGTATTTGCTTGCTGAAAGAAAGAATCAAATCTAGCTGCTTACATGTCAACGTAGTGCCAGGTCAACTCCTACATCCAGGGGGCAACTTGAACTGAAGCATCCAGTGGGTTTCCTGGAAAATGGGATCCAAGCAGGTTCTCCCACCAGTCACTGCCAATCCTTCCCTGTCCCACTTAAAAGGCCAAGAACTGAGTTCAGCTTCCCCCATTATCCCTGATTCATGATATCCCAGACACCCAAGGTATTCAACTCTGGCTATGGTTCCAGACACCCACCCATGAAACCAGGCCCCTAGAGCTGGGGCTGCAAGGGATGCATGGAATTGCAATGGAAGGTCCCTAGTACAGGCACGTTAGGCCCTTTGAGCATTGTGGCTGTTCAGAAGCAGCCCACTGCTGGAACAGGGCCAAAGCAAACATCATTGCAGCCAGGCTGATTCTCTAGCTGTTGCGAGGTTCTATTCGTTACCTATGGGGCAAGGCCCAGGAAGGAAATTCCTGCCTGTCCTCCTTTATGGCCAAGCCCAGGACTTGACTCACAACAGACCACATTGTCCTGTCCTTGTGTGCTGAAGTGGAACTAGCAGGGGAAAAACTAGGCAAGATAACACCCACACTCCAGGTTCAGGACACCCTAGCAACACCATCTCAGCCAATGCATTTCCCACACAGGATGCCAGGGCTGCCCAGAATCTCGAAATGCTTCTCCAATGCTTCTCCAATGACAGAGTCTAGACCTGCCCTCACTTCCAGCCTGGGTTTCTTACTGAACATGAAACCCAAAGCAAAACCCTGGAGGGCCAGGAGATGCTGTCTCTGCACAGGAGTGAGCAGAGTGCCCACGCACAGTTTCTCCAGGAGCAAGTAGTAAAATGTTGGAAAGCTCCTATCATCACAGTGAGCACTGCACAGGACTCGGGAAATGGATTACTGAGGGCCTCTGTGCTCAGTTCTGTGAACCGTGAGCATCACTCCCATGGTTACAGAGATGACTAGCACATTGCTGAGATGATGGGAGAGTACCATTTTGCAAGTGGAGTGATATACTGATATCAGGGACACATGAGAGGTGAGGGTTGGGGCTGGAGAATACAAAACAGGAATGGCGAGGCGGCCTGAGGGCAGGTACTCACGTGATGTTCATCCTGAACTCCAACTTACCGAAATTGTTTATGACAAATGTGAAGGGAGGCAGCAGGTGGGTCCACCTCCATGGCAGAATAGGCGTGTCTCCTGCCCAGTGCCTCATGTACCACTTTCCTAAAAGCTGGAGCAGGGGACGCCATCCCTGAGCAGGGTTGCAGGGCAGTGAGGAAGCTAGAGCTGAGGTGGGAGCAGGGCAGGAGCCAGGGCTTTGGTTAGGAGCTCAGTGCAGTCTGAGGAGGAGCAGGGAGGATCTTGGGTCCATACTTGCACTCTTCATAATTTAACAGGAAGAGCCAAGCAGGGACAGGGGCAGGGGCCCTTGTGGACACACTCTATAGGAAGGGATTGACCAGGGCCCCACTCAGGCTGCCAGAAGGAGCTGAAAAGAGTCATCTAAAACCAGGTCACACCTTTCAGTTTAGGTGATTGAGAGAGGAGGACAGGACAAGGGATCTTAATAAACAAGGCTAGGAGGTGACCAGTCACAGGTGGATGACATGACAACATTGTCACTTAGCATGGACTCTTCCAGTGATGACAATCACTACCACGGGGGGATGACAGGCCCCTCAAGATCCAGTCCCTGCCTTATTTCCCTGATGGTTCTGGTTCCTCTGAGGACTGAATATCATCATTCTCCCAAAACCAATCAGCAGTTTGTGTTGGCCCTGTCTGCACAGGCACAGGGCCATCACAAGGGCCTTGAACACCTAATACCCATGCCAGACATAGCACCAGCTCCTACCTTATTACCTGCTCCTGGGATTCACACATTTGTCCCCTGAGCCCAGGAGTTCAGGGCATGGGTGAGGCCTAGGATCACTGACCCCAGCCCTTTTGTGAGGGTGACATAGAAGAGCCAGACCAGGAGTTTGGTGTGGGAATGGCAGAGAGGGAAGCTGGGTTTCCCAGGCTCAGGTGACCAGCAGCTGGCCAGCTCCCTGAGAGGGAAAAGGAAGACTTGGAGTCACCATAGGAAGACCCTGAGGTCAGGATAGAAGGACCCTGGAGTTGTACTTATCCAAAGAGGCAGCTTGGCCTTGATCTGGGGACTGGTTTGGAACCAGGTCAGTTTAGCTTCAGGATGATGATATCAAAGATAAAACAAGCTGCCACCAGGCCCCTTTATCCATCAGCAAAGGGCCGGGCTGGGTTCTGATCATCTCTAGAGCTTAAGTGTTCTCACAAAGCATACCACAATTTTTTAAAGTCAAAACTTCTTGGAAAATCCAATGGTTTTAGTATATGTTATGAAATGTACCTTCCATTGAGAAACAGCAATTCTAAATCGAATCTCTTCTGA